ATGACGCTCAGTGTAAACCCGCTAGGAGCGAGTTGCAGTAGACAAGGCGGGAGATAACCAGGGACTGAACGAGCATCTGGGTAGCCTGTGTGGAAAGAAATGGACGTATCCTTCTGATATTAAACAGGAGAAACCGACAAGAGCGGGAAACGTTGGCGATATGAGAGGAAAAGGATAGACGATTGTCCATGGTAACCCCAAGGTTGCGAGCAGAAACCGAAGGAGGATCAGTGGAGTCACCTGCAACGGTCGTCTGGCATTCAAGCCAAAGTGGTGGAGTCGGTTGCGAATGGTTTGTTTGGAAACCCTAGTACCCCGCGCATCTCATAAACGGGCCTGCAGCTGTGTGGCAGTTGCATAACGATGTCTGAGTGCATAGGTCCTTAGGTACTGGTCATCGTTGCGGTCTGTCACTCGTGGGGCTCCACTCCTGGGTCTGTCCTGAACTCTGCCAGTAGTTCTGTGTCTTGATGCAAGTCTGCTGATGACACTTTGAGACACACCAAGTTCACGAGCAACATCTGACTGCCTGCCACCGACCCGAAGGCGCGCCATGGCCAGGTGGCGCTGCTCGTCCGTTAAGTGACGTCGTGTGTCCATGGCTGTTTGAATGATGAACTTGGAATGACTTACTGACAATACCAGCTTTTTATACCCACAGAGTGTTGAAATTGATGCCACATTGAAAAGGGTTGTCTTTTGGTATTGGTCCCAATAAGGCACACCTGTACACAATGAGACCATTACATGGAAAACATAAAATTAGGTGTGTCTATCACCCCAATACAATTGCCCTCCCTATCCCAAAAATGTCTGAAGTGAAACAAACACCGTATGTATGACATCCACTAAGTCTCTCACAATATTCCTAACTTATTGTGAGTAGTGTATGTGTAGAACATGTTTTCAGAGTCAGCTATGTTTTGGGTTGTGGATGAAGTTAACCTGATCCACTCAGGATAAGCAGATCTGAGTCTGCTGTTTCGCGAATCCCCCTAATTTACTTGTGCAGTCAGGATCTGTTAGTGAGTGAGCCGGAAGAACCTGAGTCTGTCTGATCCAGCTCTGTTATATATTCAGCAGCTCTGAGTCTGCAGGAAGTTCCTCTGATCCATCCATTCTGTCAGCTCCGCTGAGTCCACTGAGTCAATGGTTTTATGCAAGTTATGTGCAGATGGACTGGGGCATGTTGTACTGAGGTTGAACAATTTACAAGGAGAGTAGTGAGTGACACAGTTATTTGTTTTAATTTTTAAAGTCACCTGGTGTTAACTGCATGTAGGACCAAATATTCTGGCTTAATGGAGACTACAGACTCATCATCCTCGAGTTATTAGACAGATCCAGGTTAATGAGTTAGTCAGGATTCGCTCACTGCTACTATAATCACCACAGAAAGAATGCCATTCACTCCTATTTAAAACCGAGAGGCCAGATATTTCTACGGCTGATATCTCCAACACTAGACAACTCTCAGCAGAAAGACCTAGATGCAGATACCCCTCTAAAACATATCCTTTACAGTTTTTGGGTGAACTGCCCTTTTAAATTATACAGAACTAAGAGACGAACTTTAAAAATACCATAAAAAATTTTGAACTGTACCAAGTAAATCAGCCCGATCCCAGTTTTTAAAGCAGAATGTGACAGTCAGAATGTAGATGAACACAAATTGGCACATCTTTTCAAGTCGTTCTGTGGTCAAAATTAGAGTTTCAGTTTAAAATACAGCACTTTTTCCTCAAACATTAGTAAAAAAGTACAAAAATTCTTAACAAAACCGCTTCATCATTTAAATTATGTGTCATTCTTGAAACTTATACTAGGTATTACTTTTAAGATGAGGCTGATCGTGCCCTTACAGTATGTTTCATATGGAATACATAGGAGTAAATGCATTTGTATTTAAACGGAGTACAGTTCAATAAAGCTTCACACTAGAAATGATGGGGGTGGCTGTGGCTCAACAGATGTACTAGAAATAATTACAGCTTTGTAGCATTTGCTCGAGAAAGTATTTTGATGTCAAATTTTTATAAATAGCAAAAATGGCTGACAGTTAATTTTCTTGTATAGTCAAACGGATCCCTTACAATCAGTGTATTTCCTTACCTTTGTTATTTTCCAGAAGCAGACTTAGATAGTGGAAGTGTATTATTGCGTAGAGCATGAATAAAATCCCCAAAAGGCTTTTCTGAGCCAAATCTAAAAAGAATTATGTAATGAAAAACAACAGGTTAACTGAACATAAATTGAAGCAAGTCATTAAACATTTTTACTTTTTTCTAACATGCATACATAAAACCATGTATCCTAACTATTCCTCACACACAGAGCAGAGCTCCTGTACCCTAACCCTTCCTCACACAGGGATAGATTCTCCCATCAAACACTTCCTTTTCTTTCTGGGTTAAAAATAAAGTGCCTTGTTTAACTGAGCTGTAACAAGGATAGTCCTTCACCATGCCCCACCATAACAAGCTTATCAAAGTTGAATACACAATACTTACAGAAATATCTGGATGAGCATCGCACATAACTGCATATGAATATTCCAAGGGTAAGTCCAGCAATCGACAAAACATATTCTGAAATCAGACAGCAAACATTACTACACATTAGTGTTGTAATAATCCCCCACACTGATTCCACATTCACACATTCAAATATATATAAGAATATAAATGTTATTGTTTATTGCTAATGTTTATGATTCTTGTTAGAGGCAAAAGTTTTACCCATGTAAACACATTATATATCCTTATGTAAAGTAAAATGTTAGAATCCCAGTCACGTGACCCTCAAGATTATAAAGACAATTAACAATAAAGGAAACACTGTCAAACACCCTTTTCCACTGTGAAACACACAGATGTGTGTTTATTCATTCATCCCCCTGCTATCCAGAACCCACATATACATCAGATTTAATGGATTTGGACCAATCAGGGATCAGTCCCACACATACAGATCCAGGGCCAAAAATTGAAGCCTGGAGGTATTGTGCTACAATAGTACTCACAGAGCTACCGTTCCAAAATATATAGTACAGAAATAGATTAAACTTTGATGATAAGTAGAAAAACTGCAGAAAAACTCACCTAATATTAATGCTCTGTATACTATGGAAATGAAAAAGGGAGAGAAACAAAGGAGCAGCATGTGCAGCACTCTGGGATTATCTGTAAGGGAAAATAGAGCAAATCAGACACCCTCATTCTCTCATCAGTCTATACAGACATAACATGATATTAAATAACAAAGTGTCCTTGGGCTTTTCTTCCCCTGAGATAAATCCTGCCGTCCCCAGGGCCCGACTGCACTGTGAGGTCATGCACAGTAAGGCCCATGATCCGAGGGCAGCGGGGCTCAGAACACAGGCCAAGGAGTCTAATGCCCCCGAGAGTCAGAGGGTCCCTCAAAACCCCATGGTGTGATGAAGGTGAGGGCCGGGGTGTGTTAGCTGAAGGGGAATCCCAAGCTGTCCAACGTAGTTATCAGGCACACCCCCAGTCCATATCACCCACTCCATCAGGGGGGTGTCAACGTGTGTGATAGTACTCCACAGATGGTCAACTGTGCCTTGATATAAAGCTGAAGCTAATGGAACCATTTGAAGACTAATCTAAATCTAATCTAACACAAGCACAAAACCATCAACGCTTTTGTAATAAGGTTGCAATTTACTTCATACCACACATATGTAACATACAGTATTCCACACTCAAGCTCCAAGCCAGTGAGCTGGGCTTCTTGAGAATAGGTTGAGATTTTTTCGACCACATCCTTTGCTTTAACACACCTGATACAGGTAATCAGACCCTTCAGTAATATCTCACTATTATAGTCAGCTTAGCTTCAACATAGCTGGCTCCAATGCTGAGATGCTACTGAAACAGCTTGATTATCTGTATCTGGTGTGTTAAATTAGGGCTGTACCTAAGCTCTGCAGGGTGGTATATCTCCAGAAGCAGGGTTGGGCAGCCCTGGGTTAAGTGATTGAGAAAAACTGTAAATGAATTTACCTAAGGTCAACACACAAAATAATTTTGGGGTGTCTCTTATTGAACTTGTATAAGAGAATTAAAAGTTTCAATTTTATAATTTATCAGATACTTTTGTCTAAAGTGACACACAGATGCAGCAGGGAGTATGTCAGAAGCATACAACTTTTATGATGCATTTCAAATACGTGATGAATCTCCTTACCTATAATTCGTGTTCGCCTTCTCGATAGGTTTCTTCCTGCTATACCTGTGAATGGGAAAATAAGATTTGAGCAAAAATCCATCTGTATCATTGCCCAACGTCTCCATTAGTTATGCATTAATTATAATACAAGCATACATATTAGAAGTCCATAACAATAGTACATGGTGTCAGAAGGGGATTATGTCAGAAATGGAAAAGTTACAGCCTCTACTTAGGGAAACACTCAATTTCCAAGAAGCCCTGGATATCTGTAGAGCCAGCAAAGTAACACAAAATCACATGAAAGTGTTGCACAAAGAAACAGATGCTGCTGTGTTACAAAAATAACCAAAATGAAGTGAAGGGACAGACAGGCATGTGCTAGAAAGACAGGGACAGACAAGCATGAGTGCATGAGATGATGATACATTCATAAGCCAAAAAAAATGTCCAGCATACAGCAAGACGTGCAATTACTGTAATCATGAAAGAATAATTTCAATCAAATGTGCAAGTCTCAGAATCCAGGAGCACAGGAGATAATCTGTGGTTGGTATTACAGGGACAGCTCTCTCTTGGTTTCGCTCTTATTTAACTGATCATTATCAGTTTGTCCCTGTGCACAATGAATCTTCCAAGATCACCAAAGTCACATACGGTGTCCCACAGGGATCAGTACTGGGCCCCTACTGTTCACTTTATATATGCTACCACTTGGTAACATTATTAGAAATTACGGTGTTGGTTTCCATTGTTATGCTGATAATACACAGTTTTATACAGACGTGGACAAATGTGTTGGTACCCTTCCACAAAAAACACAACAATCTCTGAAATAACTTGAAACTGACAAACGTTTAATGGCACCCCTTATTGTTTATTCCATATTTAACACAAATGCTTCTGATTATTGATTCAGTCAAATATTTTATATAATTAAATAAATGAAAATGGCACAGACAAAAAAGATGGTACCCTTAATTTATTATTTTGTGGCACCATCTTCTCTTCTTCATCACTGCAACCAAGCGATCTCTGTACGTCTGCATTTGCCAGCAGGTAGTTTGGCCCACTCTTCCTGAGCAAACTGCTCAAACTGTCTCAGGTTTGAGGGGTGGTGTCTCCACACTGCCGTTTTCAGATCTTTCCATAGGTGGGCTAATGGAGGGCCATTTAAGAATAGTTCAATGTTTAATTCCTCAGCCATTCTTGAGTGCTTTTAGCTGTATGTTTTGGGTCATTATCCTGTTTGAGGACCCATGACCTGTGACTGAGGCTGAGCTTCCTAACACTGGGCAGTATGTTTCGCCCCAGGATGCCTTGGTAGTCTTGAGACTTCATTGTGTCCTGCACAGATTCAAGGTTCGCTGTGTCAGATGCAGCAAAGCAGCCCCAAAACAAAACTGATCCCCCTCCATGTTTCACAGTAGGTATGGTGTTCTTTTCTTATAAAGCTTCATTTTTCCTTCTGTAAACATGTGATCGGCCAAAAAGCTCCAGTTTTGTCTTATCAGTCCAAAGGACATTTTCCCAGAAACTTTAGGGCTTGTCAACATGCATTTTGGCAAATTCCACTCTGGCTTTTTATGTTTTTCTGTCAATAGTGGAGCCCTCCTGGGTCTTCTTCTATGGAGCTTATTATTGTTCAGAATGCAAGGGATAGAGTGATCAGAAAGTGACATACCTTTATCTTGGAACTGAGCTTTAATGGTTTTGGATGGTTTCCTTGGCTCTTTTTCTACCTGTTCAGTGTGATGCACACAATGAGGTTACCCCACGCACCGAAGACCGCATAATGGCGGAAGTGCGCTCCATCCTGCAGCAGCTCATCAGCCGGTTAAGGGATAAGCGGCTCCATCAGTGTTTAATTTTAATTAATATCACAGGTGCCTTTAAGCTTTTCATCAGCCATTCAGCTAATTTAAAGGGAAAGAACATGCTACTGTGTTGTTGAGTGGGCTTAATAGCCTAAAGAACATACAGGCTAAGCATCCATGTTTTAAATTCGTCTTTTTTTTCTGTTGATGCTGCTGCTGCGTCTCTATAAAATAAAATTTCACTGACAGCATTACGTGAAATTTAAAAAAATCCTATTAGACCTACTTTAGGCTATTAAGCCCACTGATTCCTTTATTTTTAAGCCTATTTTGTGTGGAATGCCATTGCCAAACCTGTCCGTTGTTGCCTATATGTTGCTTAAAAATAAATATTTTCTGAGTGGCAATGTTGTCATTGCTCATATTTCTTTATGATATAAGGCTTCGGTTTAAGGTGACATTTGTTAGGCATGCAGATAATTTGTCCCTCTTTTAAATTGGAGCGAGCGTGGAGCGATTTGACTGGAGCGGGAGGACATTTTAGTGGAGCGAGGAGCGGTGTTGAGCGGAGCGGCTTAATGCGAATTAGAGCGGAGGAGCGGGCGGAGCCAACAGCCTCGTGAGCGAGGAGCGGAAATTCTCACCGCTCCACTCCGCTCACATGCTCTGATACAAAGCCTCATTAATATTTTAGCCATATTACTAAATCGCTTAAATTGTGGGCATAAATAAATGTCAGTATAGCACAGAAAAGCTGGCGCACGGCCAAATGTTGCGCCTGTCATCTGAAGCCCTCGTGATTATTGCGCATGCGCGATATAATATCTATAAGATATTGCTCAGCCCTAAGCTGCATTCATTACACTGTTAAACAGTATTTCTTAATAAATAAATAAATTTCTCAATAAAAGAAGTAAGTTAATAGAACTTAATTTTGCCTAAAAATTGGATTCACTCATTTCCACAAATTTGACTTTACTCAAAAATTAATTGTGTGTGTAGTAACTCGGTTGTTTTGAGTGTACTTCGATTTCTGGAGCATTTTAAGTTGTGGCGATATACTGTAATTCCAGTTTGTTGCATTTGCTCATTTCCTCTTAGTTGACTTCATGTTCACTACACTAAAACTTGACGAGTTAGTTCAACTCAAACTGTTTGAGAAAACCGATTGCCTTAAATCATTTAAGTTTATGAACTCAAACAATTAAAGTAAAAATATTTTTTATATTGAGTAAAAGTAATTATAATTTAATTGTATTCATAATTTAAGCAACTTAGTTAAATCAAGTTAAGAGCATCAGCTGCATTCATTAGTTTGATTTAAATTACTTGAGTAACAATAACTTAAATGCATCCTCCATATGTAAATGCTACTATTTAAGTTTTATTTACTCAGTTTTCTTCCTTTAAGATTTATTATTACATTCTAGTAACCTACCTGTAGTTGTGGCTACTCAGTTCATTTAAGGAAACATGGTGTTTAAATGGGTCCACATTGAGTGTTACCTTTAACACTTTACAGTGTGCAGTGAGTCTTGTTTTTACAATGTTAATCTTTATTAACTCTAATAGTGTTCAATTTACACCATAGGTGTTTCATCTTGTTCTTTTTACAAGCTACACAAGATGGTCCGTTTAACTTTATCCCACTCACTGGGAATCTTTATTTAACTTTTACTCTCAGCTACAGCAGTTTTCTCATTACATGCTCAGTCGTCACCTACTCATCACACTGGTGTTACAATGGGCAGCCTAAACCATAAGACCGAGGCCGACCAAACTTGGTAGGATGATGTCAATTCAGATGGGGGCGCTATAGTGCCCCCCATACACGTTTCGGGCAATATCTCCTGTCCTGTTAGTCCTACAATCGAAATTCTTTTTTCTACAGATACAGGCAGATATTCCCTACAACTTCCAGAGTGAAACTATTAAGGCTCCGCCTACTTAGATTTTTTGCTAATTTGCATAATTTACAAAACTTACTTCTGCCTTAAAGTCCTACACTATCTGACCAAATCAGACAAATCAGGTGTCAAACCGATCAGTCCTCTGAGCTGATCAATTGTTATAAAAAAAAGTCTGACATTTCTGTATCATACGGCCATCTGCCACGCCCAAACTCCACCTAAATTTGGCCAGTTTCAGTCTGACTGCTATAACTTCTCCCTGCCTTAGCCTACCTTAACCAAACCTAAAATCCTACCTCCCTGCTCCATTCTGGGGACACCATACAAAGCGGCCCGCATTTAGTCAATAGGGGGCGCTACAAATACCTACTTCCAATATCTCCTGAACTGCTAGGCCTATCCAAGTGAAATGTGGCGTATGTCTACTATGGCCAAGTCTGAGGTCAGATCCGTAGTATGGCAGTCATTAGATATACAATGGTGGCCATAATTAGCCAATGAAAATCAAGCATGCATCTGACAGGCCTAGCAATCACCAATCTCAACTAAATCTGGATGATCCATGTGTCTACAGACCCTGACCACATCCTGGTAAGGGCACCCCAGTCTGCCAGATGGGGGCGCTACAGTGATAACTTTTGCGTTTTTGCCAATTCACCAGAAAGGCTTAAGCCTTCAGTTGACATTTATTGCCCGGCCAATTCAGTATGACATGCCAACAACATGTAGAACTTGGTTCTCCGTCTTTGCGTTTTTGCATAATTTATATAGGTCTGAAAACAGGACTTTTTGTTAACCTCCTAGGATTTTCTCCCAACCTACATAGGTCTGGTATCATTTAAATCAGGACACAGTCCTAATAAATAATTATTTAAAAAATCCTAAACTTTCTGTAAGGTACGGCCACCAGCCACACCCAGACCATACAACTGCCACACCCATTTCAATGAGACAGCTATATCTCAGGCCTGCCTAAGCCAATTATCACCAAACTTGAATGTATCCTGTAGGACAGTACAGGGGAAGGGCCCTCCAAATTTTGTGCCGATTGGTCAAACGGGGGTGCTACATCAATGTAACATGTCTGTATAAACCTGGAAAATCAGTTCAACTTACATTTTTCTCATTTCTGTTCCAGTGACATATTACTGGTTAAAATCCTTTGTACTGCAAGTTCTGTGAGTCATGCCAAATCAAGATATATGTACCGTCCAATGACAGTGATTTGCATTCCCTTGTGATGTTTAAAAACTCCATAAATGACATATTCCTATAACTCCTACAATGTACACCACACCTAGGTCATTCTGGTGGCAGGTCAAACAGAACACTGCCC